GACAATAAAGTATATGGATTAGGCACTTATTACTTGTATGTTTTGAACAAGTTTCCATTTATCATTTGACTTTTTTTGCACCCAAAATAGGAGTGTTGCATGGGCTATAACAGGGAATTAATAGCCCCTGTTCCTTTAAATTTTCAGTGATGGGTTTTAACCACTCCTTAAACTTGGGCTTTAGTGGATACTACTTTTGATGTGGAAATAGATGAGGGTCTTTGAGCTTGATAATGACAGGAACAGCATTTTGTGCTTGACCCACAGTTTTTCCATCGGCCTACACTTTAGGATTTACATTTTTTTCAATTAATATGAGAGAAAGAGCAGGCTCCATATTCATGAAAACAGAGGCATGGACCTTGTTCAGTATATCCCTCCCCAGAAGGGGTAAGGGAGACTCTGGCATGATCAGAAACTCATGTGAAAATAGCACAGAGCCCCAGTTGCTCCTTAAATGATGACTGAAATAATAGTGTTTGGTTCGTCCTGACAGTCCCATTATGGTAGTGGATTGGGAGAAAGCAGGCCAGGGGCTTTAGTGAGCACAGAGAAAGTTGCTCCAGGGTCCAAAAGAAAATTGACTGATTCGCCCCCCCCCCCCACAGTTATTAACATCTGGGGTTCCTCAGTGTTATTAGGATGGGATATTGTGTGGGGACCCCTGAGCACCTTCAGTCCCAATTGTCTAGAGTCTGACCCCTGGGGCCTACACCTTGGAGGGCAATCTCTTCTCCAGTATGGTTGTTTGTAGACTAGACATGAAGCCAGGAGCAGCTTAGATGCCTGAAGGCAATTCTGCTTGAGATGTCCCTCCTTTTCACACTAATAACAAGTCCATTTGTTTTCATCTGGGTCCCTCTAGATATTTTTCTCAGGCTGTTTCAGAGTGGATCTAACAGCCTTTGTTGGGGCTTCAGTCTTTTGCCTAGTTCTTTTTTTTCCTCCTATTTTCCTCCTCATATTCTCTACCATAATATACCATCTAAGCCAGCTACAACAGTTTTTCTAAAGACTCATTTGGTCCAAATGCCTGTTTTCATAACTTATGGTGGATATCTGGAGCTCAGTGAGTGAGAAATCTATCTTATAAGGTCATTTCTCCCTCTGTAATTTTGAGATCAATGTCAGTAAATTTGTAGAGAGCCTCCCATAGTCTATCTAAGAATTTACCAGGAGTTTCCTTCTCTCCCTGTTCTATGTCAGCAAACTTAGCATAGTCTTAGGTCTCAGCATGTGCTTGGTTGAGCCCAAGTATACATCCAGCAAAGTGGCTCTGTTATGGGAACTGTTTGGCTCCCAGTAGAGAGGAAAGGGCTATTTCATGTTCCCTCTCTCCCCTCATCTCACGTTCAAGCCATTCATCTCCAAAAGTATTAGCTTCCCCCAAAACTCGAGTTTTTGAGTCAGGGGTCAGCATCTCTCCTAAGACATGTATTACATCTCTCCAAGTAAGCTCATAAAGTAAAATTAGCCCTGTAAAGTCTTCTATGTACTTTTTTGTCCTCTAAATAGCCTCCCAGATCTCTCTTTCTTACCACTGGGTAAGAAAAGGGCTTATGGATTTTTATGGATTGGTTATTTTTCCCAGTGGGGGCCTCCTGAAGAGGCAGTAAATTGAGTGTCTATTCCTTAGCCCCTCTAGCTACCTTTCATATATGTCCCTGGGGATAAATTAGAGAAGCCTGCTTTTTCTCATCCTCATCCTCTTTCTCATCCTCTGTCCCATCCTCTTTTCTATCTTGTATTTACCCTTAGTTTTGGTTGTCTGCACCTCCTCTACTTTGGCTGTCTGAGTTCCTATTGAAATCAAAGTGGGGCTGCATTGGAACTGGGGCTGTTTAAACTTCTATTGAGACTGAGGCAACCCTTCCTGGAGGGGTTCCTTGACCCTCAGCTTGCTCAGTTGTTTGCCCCAGATACAGAGGCAGAGGCAGAGTAAGAGGACAGGAGGGAACTGAAGGCTTTACAGCCAAATCTGTATCCTTAGGACACAGGTCTGGCATGCCTCGCAGAGAGATAAAGAGCAATACATATGTCACTTCTACCCATTTCTCTTGTTTCTACAGAACTGGTCTAATTGTAAAACAGTATTATAATTGAGACCCTTCAACAAGCTAGTATTCCTTGTCTTCCAAAGGATACCATGACCATTCAGTATCACAGAAGATCAGGCATGTCTTTTTTAAATTTGGGAGATCAAACCTATCCCAGTTTATTAAAATACATTTTAAAGGAGTGGTTCTGGAACTGTTAACTCCTATCTGTAAGAGAGAAAAAAGCGGCATCCACAGCCGTGGCTTCTTTTCCATTGGAGGCATCCCTCCCTGCTCTAGATAGGAGTGTAGACAAACTTTCCTTCCCTGGTTGGGCTTAGTCTGTCCCTTACTGACCCAGGTGTCTTACTCGTCCCTTCTGGTTCTACCACTGAGGTGGGGTGGAGATGCACCAGGGGTAGACCTGATGGCATCTCAAATTGATTTAGTTCCATACCAACAAGACCTTTGTTTGATTTGCCTTTTTCCTCTGATGCCACCTGGGGTGGAGCACAATAACTTTCCTGGAATGTTTCCCAAGCTAGGATTACTCAGGGAAGCATCCCTCTTACATGTGCCTGTGTACTTTCCTGAGTATAGTCCTGAAAGTGAAAGTGAAAATTGCTCAGTCATGTCCGACCCTTTGCAACCCTATGGACTATACAGTCCATGGAATTCTCTAGGCCAGAACACTGGAGTGGATAGCCTTTCCCTTCTCCAGGGGATCTTCCCAACCCAGGGATCAAACCCAGGTCTACCACATTGCAGATGGAATTTTTACCAGCTGAGCCACCAGGGAAACCCAAACCACAGTAGAAATGCTGAGTCATAAACGGATGAACAGCAACCAAGTTGTCCCTCCTGAGTGTCACCACACCAGTATAGCAAAAAAGGTCATGGAGGGTTGGCCAGCGAGGAAAGCGTGGTTTTTGTCCTCGAGCTACTAGGACCAATCCTTCCAGTTCATTTCCACAGATTCCACAGGATAGACTATCTAAGGAGTTGAGACAAAAGCTACCAGAGAGTCTCCTCTGGTCCATTAAGAGATAGTGCTACCAAAGGAAGAAGCGTATTGTAATCACCACATATCTACATCCTGCAATTCCTGATCTGTGACCTCAGAAAGCTCATGGTCATTCAGCAGCACTTCTATCCATATAGATGGGAGGTACAACCATGAAAAAGACTCACTTTCAGGTCGCTGGCCCCTGAGCCAGGCAGCTAAGAGAGATGTTTCTGGATCCTGAGCTCTGCCTCGCTCCCAAATGTGCTCTTGTAACTTTCAGCTCCTAGCAAGGCTAGGCCCTTCCATACTTGGAGTCTAAGTAAAAGTACATAGAGTAATAGCATGGATATGCAGATGACACTGCCCTTATGGCAGAAAGTGAAGAGGAACTAAAAAGCGTCTTGATGAAAGTGAAAGATGAGAGTGAAAAAGTTGGCTTAAAGCTTAACATTCAGAAAACTAAGATCATGGCATCTGGTCCCATCACCTCATGGGAAATAGATGGGGAGACAGTGGGAACAGTGTCAGACTTTATTTTTTGGGGCTCCAAAATCACTGCAGATGCTGACAGCAGCCATGAAATTAAAAGACACTTACTCCTTGGAAGGAAAGTTATGACCAACCTAGACAGCATATTAAAAAGCAGAGACATTACTTTGCCAACAAAGGTCTGTCTGGCTAAGGCTATGGTTTTTCCAGTGGTCATGTATGGATGTGAGAGTTGGACTGTGAAGAAAGCTGAATACCAAAAAATTGATGCTTTTGATTTTTTTTTTTTTTTGCTTTAAGAATCGAGGTTTTATTTATTTCCACAAATACTAAAATAGTAATATTTACAGAAACATAAGACTACAGATATCATAAGTTATACACATATAATGTTTTGCTATTTTTATTATAAGTAAAATTTTAATTTTGTTCATTAAAGTTTACTGTGATTTTACCGTGAAAGAAATCTTTTTCAGACTAAGACATTCAAAATGAATCAACATATTAAATTTCATAGTCAACATATTGGATTAGCTAAAAAGTTAGTTCAGTTTTAAGTAAAAATAAAAGACACATTTACTGAACAACGTATTCACTAACCAAAGAAACTTTTTTAGCCACCTCAATATATGACAGCTCCAACAGTAATATCTTATTTTGCAGGACAAAAAAAAAAAAAAAGAGGAGGATGGGAGTAATTGACACAATCCCCCTGATTTCACAATCTGCCAATTTTTAAAGACAATTTTAATGAAATAAATGTTTCTAATTTTTTACCATGTAGGATACTTTAACAGATTTTTACTTCTATGGAACAGCAGGGGGAAAAAATTACAGAGAAACAAAAACTGAGTGCTGGTCCTTGCTACGCCATGAAGAGCTTTGTTAAACCAAGTAAATCACTGAGTTTCCCTCACCCTCAGTTTTATTACCTTTAAATTGAGGTGGGAAAAGTGCTCTCCAAATACCTTCTATTTTAGTCCCTAAAATTCTAGTCCCTAACATTTTAGTCCCTAAAATTCTAGAACTTATTCCTTCAAAGAATGAGAGCATAAAAATCAGTGTCATATAGACAAGCTTCTATTAAACTAGTATTGCTTCTAAATTAGACTAACTTATTAATAAACAACTTGAACTACATACAGCTTTCAAAGTGTTAATTTAAAATGTTGAAGATTCAGAACTTTGAAAGAATATTTGCATATATACATATGCATTTATATATGTTAATAATCAAAATAAAACATCTTTTTTAAGGCCCAGGAAGACAAAAAATTTATAAGCATGCCATCAGTGTTTTACTATATCTCAAAGGAAAATTAAATAATCAGAAAATCATGTCAAAAAAGCCTTTTTCATAATAGAGGTTAACAATATGTTTTAAGAATATGTACTCTGCTTCAGGATATTCCCAAATGAAACTAATCAGGCCAAAATAAATAATCACATTGCAAGATTGAAAAAAAATATTAGAGACTATTATATTCAGGTAGATCATGCCGTAGTCGAATTGCTTTCAGCTTCTCAACTTCAATTTTTGCTCTTAGCAGCTCTTCCTCTAGCTGCTGCCTTCTTTTCAATCCATCCCTCTTCTCCTGAACATATAATCCAAAACTTTTTTGATTTTCTAAAATTATCTGATGCTCCTCTTTCAGCATTTGTAGAATCTGAGGATCATACCCTAATTGTGACCTAAAATTTTCTCCACTCTCATGCCGAAAAAAATCATCTCTCCTTGGGATAGAAGATGGAGACGATGTCATTCTCATATCAACAGAGGAAAGTGATGGTGACAAAGATCTTTCCATTACACGCACTAATTCCTGTTCTTCTCTTTGCTCTAAAGTATCACTCTGTTGAGAACTTAAAACCAGTGGAGGAGGGGGCTTAATGTCTTCTTCTTGCTTCACCTCCACTGTAATAGCAACTGGATGGCGGTCCAACATTACCTGTAGTGAACTGGTACCAGCCTGTGCTTCCTCATCCAAGTTTGCACTGTATGATGTAGGTCTAATGTTGCCTTTGTAGATGCTTCCAAACAGTATTTTTCCCTATGATTATACCCATGATTAATTCCTTTAGCACATTCTTCAGTAGGCAAATTAAAATTGCATATTCTGGGATCATTTTGTGGCTGGAGAAAATTATTCTTATTTGCAGCAGCCTCAAATAACTTTATTTCTGAATTCAGTTTTGCAACATCTTCATTACGACTTGGATGACTTCTTGCTGGTGATATAAATTTTGGTTTTTTGAAGGGATTCCCTTGCAACTGACTTGGTGCTGCTGATCGTCTCATATTTAGCAGTATTAACCGGTGAGGATCCGAAAGTACCGACGGCCCCAGGGGGAAGGACTACGCGGAGTAGACAGCGACACCCCCAAACGCCAGAGCATCTCAAGGCGCCTGCCTCGGCCAAAATTGATGCTTTTGAACTGTGCTGTTGGAGAAGACTCTTGAGAGTCCCTTGGACTGCAAGGAGATCCAACCAGTCCATCCTAAAGGAGATCAGTCCTGGGTGTTCATTGGAAGGACTGATGCTGAAGCTGAAACTCCAATACTTTGGCCACTTCATGTGAAGAGTTGATTCACTGGAAAAGACCCTGATGCTGGGAGGTATTGGGGGCAGGAGAAGGGGACAATAGAGGATGAGATGGCTGGATGGCATCACCAACTCGATGGGCATAGGTTTGGGTTGACTCCGGGAGTTGGTGATGGACAGGGAGGCCTGGCGTGCTGTGATTCATGGAGTCACAAACAGTTGGAAATGACTGAGTGACTGAACTGAACTGAACTGAACAGCATGGATCACAAGTCCCTTGGAAGTCTGTGATCTGACAGATTAAGTTAGTATTCTAATTCCCCACGCAATTATGAAATGGTCAAAGAGACCAGGCAAAGCTGACCAAGGAAGGATAGTTCGGTACACATGCTTCACCCATTTCTGGCCACTCCCTTCGCAGGGACCTTGGATGTCTCTTGGCATTGGCAGGTCCATATAAACTCCCAATAAGGCCCCCCTTTTGGGGCTGCCTTCCGTCATTACAAGGCACCATGAAACCTCAGAGCAGGGCTCATCATTTGCTTTGCACAGGGCATGTCTTTCATTCACACAAGCACACTGGAGAGAGTAAAGTAAAGCAGAAAATGTGTATACTGAGAAAGCAGAGAGGCTAGAGCTCTTAGTGTTTATTACCCTGTCCTGAAGATCCTGGATGAGCCCCCAAGATGATAGCTTATAGTGAATGATGTCAGATTCATGTTGTCTGAAGAAGATTTAGCTTTGAGACCAGGGACCAGGCTTGATCACTCAAGAGCTTTTTGCTTTTTTAAAAAAAATTCGGTAAACCTTTATTCATTAGCAGAGTTTTATTAAAGTATAAAAAGGGACAGAGGAAGCTTCTGACATAGACATAAGAGGGGGGTGGAGAATACCCCACTCGCTAGTCTTAGCAAGGGAGTTACATGCTTTTTAAATTGGCTATTACAATACATCAAAAGAATGTCTCAAGGTTGTAAAGATCTTACTAGACCCATTTCCACAATTTACATTTTAAGATAACAGGATTAGAACTAATAGAAAGCTCTTGCCAGACCCACTCCCATAATACACATTTTAAGATAACAAGACTAGTCAGATGGTTTTCAAGAAGGAAAAATGGTCCTCAAGCAAGATACATTGATGTAATACAATCCTTGCTAAGGAATGTAGAAAACAAAACAAAACAAAACTTTTTTCTTTCCTCCTTGAGAACTTCAGACCCCTATCTCCTCTTCAAAAGCCCCAAATCCCTTTCTCCTCCTTGGGGACCCCAGACATCTAATCAACCTACCTAGAAATTGTGTCTTTCACTGTGACTGTTTCTGGAGAACTATCATTTTCCTTTGTGATGCAGATTACTATGGTTTTTTTTGATCATTAATTTTATTTTTTAAATTTATTTATTTTTAATTGAAGGATAATTGCTTTATAGAATTTTGTTGTTTTCTGTCAAAGCTCAACATGGATAAGCCATAGGTATACATATATCCCCTCCCTTTTGAAACTCCCTCCCATCTCTCTTCCCAGCTCACCCCTCTAGATTGATACAGAGCCCCTGTTTGAGTTTCCTGAGCCATACAGCAAATTCCCGTTGGCTATCTATTTTACATACGGTAATGTAAGTTTCCATGTTACTCTTGCCATACATCTAACCCTCTACTCCCCTCTCTCCATGTCCATAAGTCTATTCTCTATGTCAGTTTCTCCATTGCTGCTTTGTAAACAAATTCTTCAGTACCATTTTTCTAGATACCATATTTTCTAGGTTGTTAGTATACAATATTTATCTTTCTCTTCCTGACATACTTCACTCTGTATAATAAGTTCTGTTTCATCCACCTCATTAGAACTGACTCAACTATGTTCCTTTTTATGGATGAGTAATATTCCATTGTGTATATGTACCACAACTTCTTTATCCATTCATCTGTTGATGGACATCTAGGTTGCTTCCATGTTCTAGCTATTGTAAATAGTGCTGCAATGAACAATGGGATATGTGTCTTTTTCAATTTTGGTTTCCTCAGGTTATATGCCTAGGAGTGGGACTTCTGGGTCATATGGTAGGTTTTTTCCTAGTTTTTGAAGGAATCTCCATACCATCTTCATAGTGGCTGTATCAATTTACATTCCCACCAACAGTTTGAGAGCATTCCCTTTTCTCCACAGCCTCTCCAGCATTTATTGTCTGTAAACTTTTTGATAATGGCCATTCTGACCAGTGTGAGCTGATATCTCATTGTAGTTTTGATTTGCATTTCTCTAATAATGAGAAATGTTGAGCATCCTTCCATGTGTTTGTTTGCCATCGGTATGTCTTCTTTGGAGAAATGTTTGTTTAGTTTTTTCCCCCATTTTTTGATTTTTTTTTTCTTTCTGGTATTGAGCTGCATGTGCTGCTTATATAGTTTGGAGATTAATTCTTTGTCAGTTGTTTCATTTGTTATTATTGTCTCCCATTTTGAGGGTTGCCTTTTCACCTTGTGTATAGTTTTCTTTGCTGTGCAAAAGCATTTAAGTTTAATCACATCCTACTTGTTTACTTTTGTTTTTATTTCCATTACTCCAGGAGGTGGGTCATAGAAGATCTTGCTTTGATTTATGTAGTCTATTGTCCTGCCTATGTTGTCCTGGTCTTTACATTTAGGTCTTTAATCCATTTTGAGTTTATCTTTGTGTATGGTGTTAGAAAGTGTTCTAATTTCATTCTTTTCCATGTAGCTTTCCAGTTTTCCCAGCACCATTTATTGAAGAGGTTGTCTTTGCCCCATTGTGTATTCTTGCCTCCTTTGTTAAAAATAAGGTAGAAATAGGGGCACGGGTTTTTTTCTGGGCTTTCCGTCTTGTTCCATTGGTCTATATTTCTTTTTTTGTGCCAGTACCATACTGTCTTGGTTACTGTAGCTTTATAGTATAATCTGAAGTCAGGAAGGTTGATTTCTCTAGCTCCATTCTTCTTTCTCAAGACTGCTTTGTCTATTCGGGGTCTTTTGTGTTTCCATATGAATTGCAAAATTTTTGTTCTAGTTCTGTGAAAAATGTCATTTGTAATTTGATAGAGATCACACTGAGTCTGTAGATTGCATTTGGTAGTATAGTCACTTTCACAATATTGATTCTTCCTACCCAGGAACATGGAATATCTCTCCGTCTGTTTATGTCGTCTTTGATTTCTTTCAGGAGTGTCTTATAATTTTCTGTGTACAGTTCTTTCATCTCCTTAGGTAAGTTTATTTCTAGATATTTAATTATTTTTGTTTCAATGGTGAATGGGATTGATTCCTTAATTTCTCTTGCTGATTTTGCATTGTTAGTATATAGAAGTGCAAGTGATTTCTGTGTATTGATTTTGTATCCTGCCACTCTGCTAAATTCACTGACTGGCTCTAATAATTTTCTGATAGTATCTTTAGGGTTTTCTATGTTAAGTATCATGTCATCTGCAAACAGTGAGAGTTTTACTTCCTCTTTTCTGGTCTGGATTCCTTTTACTTCTTTTTCTTCTCTGATTTCTGTAGCAGGACTAACAGCACTATGTTGAATAGCAGTGCTGAAAGTGGACACCCTTGTCTTGTTCCTGATCTTAGGGGAATGCTTTCAATATTTCACCATTGAGAATAATGTTTGCTGTACGCTTATCATATATGGCATTTACTATGTTGAGGTAGGTTCATGTTATGCCCATATTTTGAAGAGTTTATTCATAAATGGGTGCTGATTTTTTTCAAAGACTTTTCCTGCATCTATTGAGATTATCATGTTTTTCATCTTTCAATTTTTTAATATGGTATATCACAATGATTGATTTGGTATATTGAAGAATCCTTGCATCCCTGGAATAAACCCAACTTGCTCATGGTGTATGAGCTTTTTGATGTGTTGCTGAATTCAGTTTGCTAAAATTCTGCTGAGTATTTTTGTATCTATGTTCATCAGTTATATTGGCCTGTAGTTTTCTTTTTTCTGTGTTGTCTTTGTCTGGTTTTGGTATCAGGGTGATGGTGGCCTCGTAGAATGAGTTTGGAAGTGTTCCTTCCTCTGAAAAAATTTGAAAGAGTTTTAGAAGAATAGGCACTGGCTCTTCTCTAAATGTTTGATAGAATTATCCTCTGAAGCCATCTGGTCCTGGGCTTTTGTTTTTTGGAAGATTTTTGATCACAGCTTCAATTTCAGTGCTTGTAATTGGATTATTTATAATTTCTATTTCTTTCTGGTTCAGTCGTGGAAGATTGAACTTGTCTAAGAACCTTTCCATTTCTTCCAGGTTATCCATTTTATTGACATATAGTTGTCCATAATATTCTCTTATAATCCTTTGTATTTCTGCATTGTCTGTTGTAACCTCTCCTTTTTCAATTCTAATTTTGTTGATTTAATTCTTCTCTCTCTTTTCTTTTTTTTCT